AACTCTCTACTATGGTTCCAAGCCACACAACAGCAATACAGATGATTAAAAGGATACAACTTTTCATATTCTTGAATCGAAAAGAACCGTAAAAAATCACTTTTACAAAGATATCATTTATTAATTTTCGTTATAACATTGTTGTATAAAGATTACAACATTGATTATATTATTAGAAACTTAAAATACTAAGGAGCCATTTACCAATCACTTATCCGTTAAGTGCTTATCGGTAAATTTACCACTATCATTTATTTACTGGTTAAGATTTTAGTCCACAAAACGGCATCGTATGGAACAATTTACCCGGTAAGTGTTTACCGTGGTAAGAGTCGTCGTTCTCACTTACCGGATAAGACTCTTGGTCCTTGACTCGCTCTTACCGGGTAAGATTCGTGATCCTTTTCATATTCATCCGGTAAGGTGAAATGATTTGGTGTTCACTTATCCGAGTAAACGTTTGGTAAACGGCCCCTAAGTTATAACAGATGCACTCTTTCTACTTGTTAAATGCACCATACTTTATAAATTTCCTCTTTAGCACTCATCAACATCAAGCCCCTCTTTTTATATTTTTAATGCATGATGACATGAAACCCATACATTTAATTTCAACGTTTTTATTGATTAAAATAATATATTTTTCTAATGAAAATAATTTTTTGGAAGTTTTCCAATAATTTACATGAACTTATAAAAGAATATTTTTTTAAAATATTGTTTGGCATAAACATATATATTATTTAATTTGATTATGATGTAAAAATGACGTATGCAACATCATAATTTTTTATATTTTAATTATCTTCCCTTCCCAATCAGCCATCTTATTCTCCTTAAAGTCACAAATTCCACATTCACCTACTATTTATATACAGTTTTTTATTACCATCAGAAAGGTACTAGTACAATGCAGTTTATAAAGTTAATCAATGAATATAAATTGATTTTATAGATCTTATGGAAAACTCTTGATCTCACGTGAACCCAACCCCCCTCCACCCCCCACCTCCCAACACACACACACACACACACATATATATATATATATATAAACGTGGGATTTTGTAAGGATAATAACTATGTGAAAACGGTGAAAATACTTATGAGTCTAACTTCATTTTCTTTCAACTACATTCAATTACCTTTATCTTCAATTTTAATCGGTTTCATGATTTTATACATACATTTAATCACTTTTACATACATGAAGTTCATTATAATAAAAATAGGTAAATAAAAGTTGTTGAAAGTATATGAAGGTTTTGTTCCACCTTCACACCATAACTCTTATTTTCATCAGAACTCAACGCGCACACACACCCATCACACACACATATATATATAGTCGGTTCAAATGAGAACCAAATAAAATAAAACGAGAACAATCAAATCAACTACATGTGATTCACTTGATTTTGGCCCAGCCTAGCCACGTCGCGTGTTTGCGTTTACCGTGTTCCATAATCACAAGTGAAATTAGAATAAAACAACATGTGATTATAGTGCAAAATCACATGTGATTTGGCCGTTTCTATAGGATCAAAACTAACCTGCATTCGCATAAGCAAATCGCCACATGGATGAACACCTTGCTTCCGATTGTTCATAAAACGTTGTCGAGCATCTTCGACTTGTTGACGTTCGGCGGGAGTTCCGGCATGGGGATCGAACACCCAAATTTGGCGACCAACAAAGTTGTTGGTGGAAAATAAGTAAGGATCATTCCCTTCTGCTATCGTCAATTTCCACATGCTTGTGATTTGTGAAGGCGGTAGGGATGGGGGTATAATAGTAATTAGTAAAGGTGGTGGTATGTATGGAGTTGCTTTTTTTTGGGTGGTTTATATAGACTTTGCTACTTGCCAACTCGGTAGACTTTATTTTTTGGTGACAATAAATACAATATAATATATATATATATATATATAAGCGTTCAAATAAAAACCATTTAATTTGTAAAAATCGTGAAAACCTCATTCAATCAATCATAATTTTTAATTTTGTTCATTTTTTTGTAATTATGCGAGGTTGATTAACCATTTTATTGTAGAGGGTGTTAATCATGGATATTATCATCTTCATTATTTTAATTTTAGAGAAATAGATGAAACAATTTCATTAAAATTTCATTAAATATTATATAAAACAATTTTATAACCATATATGAAATAAATTTATTAAAAAAAATATTATATGAGACAATTTCATGAAAACATTTCATAAGATTAAACAATGAAATCGACGTATAAGGGTGATTTGTACGGTTTGTACAAATGATGGTGGTTTTCATTTGATCTTTTCTCTCTCTCTCTCTCTCTCTCTCTCTCTCTCTNATATAACATATTATATAAACTATTCGATAAAAGTATTAATTGATTAAGAACTTAGTATTGGATACTGTTTGTTTAATAATGTATAATTCCTTCGATTTTAATTTAAAAGTAATTGTTGTATATATACATTTTTTCTTAAAGTTCTTTGAGTTTTATAAAGCTAACCGATAAATAAGTTCAAACAGAGGATAATCATTAAGCCATATTAATACGATAGAATAATAGTGGTAATGATTCTCATAGTTATGTTATTTAAATTCCGACTCTCATCACCGAAGCTTTTAGATTCGCCACTGACCGTAGGCCCTGAATATGCTCCCTAGATGTCTAGCCTTGCTCTGTTAACTTCTCGAAGGTTAAGCGGGAAGAAATCCCCAACGTGCATGGAGAACCCCCTTGGGGTTACCTGTTTAGTTAAAAGTAATAATAACTAACTTTGTCTGGTACGGAGAACCCATTTAGTATCTATTTAGGAGGCGAACGGTATCATCTTCATCCTTACCCAGAACCCATTTCAGGTATAGAAATTAACGCTAATTGTCCCTCCCCCATTTAATATTAAAAGTTCAATCATCTTTAACAAACAAGTATTTACTTTATCAGAATCCCAAAGTCAAAATTAGACGAATGGAGTTTTCTTTGTTGACATAACATCTAATTGCATAAAGAATCAAAAGTCACAGACAATCCGTCTTTTTTTCTATAAGAAAAAGGTAATTTACGTCATTCAAACTATCCATTTGAAATAATTATCTTATACTCATAAGAAATTACTCTAACCAGACCATTTTAATCAAGACCGAATCTCAATCGAAACAGTGTTTAATCATAAAATTAATCGAAAAAAACATAAGCCAATAACTAAATGATTAGCAAATAAGTCGTCGTACAGTTAAGCTCATTAAACTGTAAACAAACATCTCCTCAGTTACACATGTCAATATAATTATGAATGGTATGTTTAAAAATAAAGTCATTCCAGTAAGTATAACATTTGTATAATATAACAGGACCTTTTTTCCATACAATTCTACATATAACATACTGAAATCTCTAAAGAAACATTATAACATAATCACTGAAATCACATATGAATGAGGAAATTATGCATTGGTTATCTCACAAACAATTGTAGTTACGGTTGATCAATTACTATCACAAACCGGCAATACCTTCACGTACTTACAAATTTTTTTTGTCACAATATTCATGTTTTAATCAGATAATAAACGATGTACACAAAAAAGATGTCTATAAACTCAGTACAAATAAATTTCATAGTACGATGTCTCCTGATTCCTCCAAAAACAATTTTATTTATTTATTTTAGATTAACTTTTATACTTATTTACACTGCTAAATGGGAGACTCTTTTCAAAAACTAAATGAAAGACTTTTACCTCCTTGGGAAACCCGTTGCTAAAAGGATGATTCGTCACAAAACCTTCACAAAAGTTGGTGGGTAATTCAAATAAGTGACAGGATATCCCCAGGTATTTTCTAGATGGTCCATTGGAATTTCTTAAAAAACATCAAATTCTACTGAAACCATTGATATTTTATGGGTAATTCGTGATAATTACCGATGAAAATATTTATTATGTTATATATAACGTAGCAAAAGTCAAATACATTAAATATATAATAAGAATTTGGTCGACTTTTATCACGATGTAAAGTTGTCTTGTCATTCACCGGTCACATATTCAATGTGCTTGTGTGTGAAAGAGAAACTCAGATTTTACATTTATCCAAATTTATGAAAAAGAAAATTTATAAAAATAACCATTTAATATAACCGTTTGTCATAAAATAATTGGGTTTTTTAGGTTTTACGATTTTGACCACCTAGATCGCTTCCGGGGGCGATCCGTACATGTTGGGGGCGATCCCCATTAAGACCCTTAAAAAATTGCCTTAAAAGACGAGATTACTGTTGACCCTCGAAGACCAAACTTTGACCTCGCCCTAGGGGGCGATCCAAACTGTCCCATCGCCCCCAGGGGCGATCCAGCCTAAAAATATTTTTTTTTACTTTTTTTGTTTTGTGGTATTTTTAATAAAACCGATACCCCATTTAAGTTGTATTTTTTAACTTTTTTAGAACCAAATTTCATGGGTAAATGTTTAAAAATAAACCATTATAATTATGGAGACGCAAAAATTATTTTTATCTAATTTGGGTTTCGTAAATCAGATATTAACCCGTACATCTCTTTTTTTTTCTTTTTTTTCTTTTTTTTTACCTCCAATTTCATTATAAATACCAATCTCCTACTTCATAATTTTTCACACTTCCCTTTCATTTCTTTTCTCATATATTCTACTCTCACATCTTTAACCATTAAACACAATCAACTATCATAAAACATGAAATCACGTCAAAGTGATGATGTTTGTGTGTATCTTCGAAGTGGCGGTTTATTCCAAGATATAAATGACGTTTTAGAGTACATTCCAATAACCTCCCCCACATAGATAGATGCATATACATATACATATATACATATATATATAGAGATAGATAGAGTATTTACCGGTGTTTACATATGAGCGGCTGATGGTGGTGATGGCGGCGATTGACGGTGGTTGGTGGCGGCGAGGGTGGTGGATGGTGGCGCTTGACGGTGGTTGTTGGCACCGGAAGGTGGTGGATGGCGGCGGATGACAGTGGTCGGTGGCGGCGGATGGTGGCCGACGGCGGCGGATCACGGTGGTCAGTGGCGGCGGAAAGTCGCTGATGTCGTTATACAGTGGTCTATGACGGTATATCGAAGAATAGTGGTCGTTCTTGGTCGGGATGGTCAGAGCTCGGTTTTTCATTTGGTTTTTCCAGAGAAAACGAGCGATGGTGGAGATGGATGGTGACTTATGGTCCCCCACCGCCAATTTATATAAAACGTTAAGTAATAAAACAAAATCCATCGTCAAATCGGCTTCAAATCGACGTCATAGAGTGTCATAGCATGAAAAATCGCGAAATCAGATATAATGTCTGATTTTTTCTCCCAAAATCAGCTAATTTTTTTTTTCGTAACCACAATTACCATTGTCTTATTTTATACCGAAAAACCATGAAATTTATAATTAAATACGTAAAAAGACACAATTTATGTATTTTTCCTTTTTATTAAAAACCCCTTAATTGTTAAATAAAAAACACAAAATGACGAAATAGAGGTCAAATTTCGTAAATCATATATTATATCTGATTTACGAAACCCAAATAAAATAAAAATAATTTTTGCGTCTCCATAATTATAATGGTTTATTTTTAAAACCTTTACCCATGAAATTTGGTTCTAAAAAAGTTAAAAAATACAACTTAAATGGCGTATCAGTTTTATTAAAAATACCACAAAACAAAAAAAAACATTAAAAGGCTGGATCCCCCCTGGGGGATGAGACAGTCTGGATCGCCCCTTGGGGCGAGGTCAAACCCGGTCTTTGAGGGTGAACAGTAATCTCGTCTTTTAAGGCTGGAAATATTTTTTTTTTAATTTTTTTTAAAGAGTTTAAATGTGGATCACCCCCCCCCACATGTACGGATCGCCCCCGGGGGGTGATATGGGTGGTCAAAACGCAAAAACCTCTAAAACCCGGTTATTTGTGGCAAATAGTTGTATTAAATGGTTATTTTTATAAATTTCTCTTATGAAAATCTGATTTATTTTTATTTTGTAAATTTGCGGTCCAACGATATTTGAATTATCGGTAGAGTCTCAATCGTTCTGAAGTTCAAGACGTTATAACGGAGTTGGTTTTATAGGACGTATAGAATGTCTAATTGTTTTGGTTTAACAGTTTATATAATCAAAATATAGAACATCTTATCTAAAAGCGTTACAATAGGTTTTATAGAACGTTTTTAGGCATTTTAACAAGTTTTTAAAACATTTTTGGAATAAAGTGTATAGCTATTTTATATGACACTTTTGAGAAGTGTCCAACCCATATTTTTATAGGACACTTGTAATGTTGTATAATATAATTAATACGATACTTTTCATGACCCTATAATATTCTACATTATGACGAAGGAACGTAGCGTTAGCCCGTGCCACCATACGCACTACATTGGGACCGTCCCTGTCTTTTCATGACACGTTTAGATTTTAGTTGTCCTATAAAATTAAATTTGTTTTATAGAGAGTTAGGGGTGTTCATGAGTGCTTATAAAAATAACTTATTGACTTATTCCAGTGTGGTACCGGTAATAAACAATTTTGAGTGTTCAGATAAACAACTTATACCGGTGCCAAACCGGTAATAAGGAGTTTTTGAATAAATTAAACTCTTCTGATTTATAATAAGTTGATAAGTGTTTTTATAAAAAAAAAAAAACATAAGTTGTTTCAAATAAGCAATCACAACCCTCCCCTCCCCTTAAAGTATATAAGCCTCATCAAATACGACTAGTGTGTTTATGATTATTTACCATATATAAGTATTATATATTTAATAAATACAACATAATTGGTTCAATTCCTATTTTATATTTGTAACGTATAAAATAGGAATCAAATTAATTATGTTATATTTTTTAAAAATATATAATATATTTTATTCTAAATTTTTGAGATATATATTTGAAATAAAAAAAAGTAGGTTTCCAAAGTATGATGCACAAAATAAGCATTATACAAAAGTATGTTAGCATTTTCATTCACTTTACACTTAGGCCTACCTTGTTTTTAGAAGAAAAAAAAAACTCTTACTAGAGTCTTATGTCTGATTAGTTAATATGTAAGATCATCTGATAAGAGGTAAACCAACATCTTATTTGTCTTTTATTGTTCTCTAAATTTTTAGCAATTGTGTTTCTCAATCTATTAAACTTAATCGATCACTTCTCTCAATTGATTCTTACCAAATCGATCCTCACCTGTCTCAATTGATGTATTTTAATATGATTTTAAATGTGTTAAATACTGTTAATGACATATTTTCGTTTAAATGAATGTTAATTATACAATTTAGATGTAAATTTCGTAATGATGATGAATAAATATGTGAAATTGTATAAATTTATCTATAAATTTAACATTATAATTTTTAAGGGATAAAATATATAATTTAAACAAATTCAGACATTTATCAGTTTAAAAAAATAAACAGTCTTATTGACTCTGAAATTTCAGACTTCAACACCACTTCTTATTAATCAGAAGTGAAATAAGACTTCAGACTTTAGCACCTCTTAAAAAACAAATGTCAACTTAATTTTAATCTTTGCCATTAATATCCTTAATCTTTTACTATTGATTATTAAATTATAAAACAAAATCAATAAATATACAATTCAATTAGTTGACCCTTTATTTCATAATTTTATTTTACTTTCTTTGAAACGATTTCCCAACAATGAATTAAAATAATCTTCAGTTTTCCTTTTCATGTCATCGACATTTCTATTTGGCCGATCATCATCGTTGGCGGGTTCATTTTCTACGAGCTTGTTGGCTTATAGGTCTTTCATGGGTCCTTTCGATCTACAAACACAAACTTAAATATATAAAGCAAAAATTGTGTCTACACAAGTCACACAACTGCCAGTTCGTTATTCGTTAGTGATTTTTCTAGCAGAGCTTAACAGCTTTTGCGTAAAGACAACGATATGTTTGAGCTCCAATGCCAATGTTGCAAAACTGATGTATGTACTTATGTGGGTCCCAATTCAATCACTGTTCGTTCTTATGATTTTAAGTCTGTTTTCTTAAATAGTTGTTGCAACTTAAATTTTGTATTTACAGTGGTTAATTATTTCATTATTAAAATATAATATCTTTATTTTTATTATTGTAATCACTAATTGTTAAAACTAATAAATATAGCATTTTCAAGTATAACTTACAATATTTTATCCTTCGACGTTATCGAGCTCTGTATTGCGTATTTTAAACATTAGTGATTTTCAGATGAGTCGAACGGCAAATTCATCTAATTGACGTTAATTTTTAACCTTCTCAATTGTTATCTTTGTTACATGTTAGCGAACATTTCTACTTTTGGCCTGACAAGCTATACACATCGAGTCATACCAAACTCAAACTTAACTCCACCAACGAGACGAGTCAACTCAATTCCGCTCCAAGCATCTTCGCTAGAGATTTGGGTCGTGGAGTAATGATTCTTGACTAAAATTCGTATTTTGACCGTTCGGAAATACAATAATTTCATCTTTTAATGGAATTTAAAACTTTATCATATTTGTTTATTGATAATTATAGAAGATAACCATACCAAATTCAGACCAAAGTTTCGTTTTTGTTTTAAAAAATTTATTAAAAAATTATAAGATATTCGACTTCATTGGTTAAAACAATTAAAATAATACTAGAAGAGTACTCACGCAATGCAACGAGATACGTCTTGATTTTAATATTTCATTTTATTATTTATCTTAGTCGATGTTATAATATAGTCTTACGTGATTTTGAAAAAAAAAACGATGATGTTTTTATTTTTGAATAAAATATAAATTTGAAGATATCATAAAAATTTGACAAAAGTATATTGATATTAGTATCGAATTAACTATTTAAAATTCATCATTTTTTGTGTAACTTTTTAATTCAATTTTTTTATTTATAATTTAATTTAGGTTCAATAATGAAGTAATTTATATTTGGTTTAATAATATAATTTTCTTATAAATATAACAATTAATTATTTTGTTAGAACTTGATAACTATTCTAATTATATTTTAGATATTTTATATTTTAAAATGAGATGTTTATCATTTATTTGATTATGTTTATCTGCAGTTAGTTACACGAATTCAAACATGGAGCTTTAATAAATTATATTTATGCATAATTTACTTGTAATCTTGAATCTTAAGTAATATGTATCAATATAGAGTACTTTATGCATAAAAAAATGGTTTTTAAGAGTTTTTGTCAAATGTTTTATAATATAGTATAGATATCTCTGTCCTCAATATCATGTTTAAAGATTTCTCTAAATTTGGAGATTTTATAATTTATTTCTCTATTTTAACATACATTTTAGCATTGTTGTTCTAAATATTCTAAAAAACTCTCTAAACGAGTGTTTCATTAGAGGTATTAATTACTAATCAATGAAAATAAAAATAAAAGAAACTGTTTGGTTTTATAAAAAATAATAAGTTCATTCTCCCATAAACCCAAATTTTCGTTCCAAGTTAAACTGGAGAAAATAAAATTCATTCTCATTTTCATTCTCCAGCTGAATCAAACAGCCATAAATTTGGAAAAACATTCCACCTTTCTACCATTTTTTTTATTTTAAAAAAATTGTTGGATTAAACAAAAAAAAAAAAAAAAACTAGAAATACTCAAAACAAAAAGCTACTTCAATAATGTTTTAGCAAAGTTCATGGTTTGTTTTCACTTTTTTCATTTATGTGCCTAACACATTTTTATTAATTTTTAACATGCTTTTTGCATCATTTTCAAGTTTATCAACAAAACTAAATTATTAATTAATAATATAATAATTAAATAAGTAAATTATTAACCAACAATTACCTTATCAGTTATTTTATCAAACATAACGTAAAAAGTTTCGTCAACAAAATATTAGCATCAGATATGAATATAAACATTTTATAATATATATATATATTTGTATGTATGTATGTATGTATGGGAGTAATAAAAATGAGAAACTTTATATTTTGTAATAAACGTGAAAACTTTTATTTTAAGGTATTGTTTTACATGATTTTTTTTCCCATCTAAAGCTAGTAATTTAATGTATTAATGGATATATATATATATATATATATATATATATAAATATATATATGTTTATTTTTTATGTATTCAGTTCATAATATGAAATATCTTTACTTGTAACGTTTATTTCACAAACAAGCTAAAAATGTTCATATTGTAAAAATATATACGTTGTTAAACCGCTTTATATAATTTTCAAATATATTTTATGAAACTTTTGTTTCACAAACGGACTAAAGATATTCATATTGTTAAATTAACATGTATTAATCAATATAATAAATTCTAGTCTTATACTACAAAAATAGATACAATAACACATGATATATTTGTTCTCAACGTAATCATAATTTCTTATGTTATCAAAAGAGTCTATATATATATATACTAGAAGGGTACTCGCACAATGCAGCGAGATATATCTTCATTTTAATATTTTATTTTATTTTTTTGTCTCTGTTAATATAATACAGTTTATGTGATTTTGAAAAAGACAATGTTTTTACTTTTGAATAAAAATAAATATGAAGATATCATAAAACTTTGAAAAAATTATCGTTATAATGTCAAATTAACTATTTAAAAGCTCTATTTTCTATACAGTTTCTTTAATTTAATTTTTTATTATAATTTAATATAGGTCTAATAGGAAAGTAATTTATTTTTGACTTAACAATATAATTTTTATAAAGATAATGATTCTATTAGAGCTCAATGATTATCCTAATTATATTTTAGATTTTTTATATTTAAAATGAGATGTTTATTCTATATTTGATTATGTTTATTTGCAATTAGTTATACGAATTTAAAAATGAAGCTTTAATAAGTTGTACATACGCACAATTTACTTGTAATCTTAAATTTTTAGTAATATGTATTAATAAACAATACTTCATGCATAAAAAATTATATTTAAGAGTTTTTGTCAAATGTTTTAATATGCATCAATAAACAATACTTCGTGCATAAAAAATTATATTTAAGAGTTTTTGTCAAATGTTTTAATATGCATCAATAAACAATACTTCGTGCATAAAAAATTATATTTAAGAGTTTTTATCAAATGTTTTATAATATAGTATAAATATATTATTTTGAAAAATATATTATGAACAATTTTTTATTATTAAATTATATATATAAAGTCAAATATTACATTTAATTGTTCAAATTCTATCAACCCACCGTCGTACAAAATAGTAACACCACTAGACTGCAAATTGAACTCCACTACCCACACACCCCCACCACCAACACCATTTCCCTCCATATAATTCCACTTCTCTCCGTTCTTTTCTGCATCAGCGCCGCCCTTTCTCTCTCCATATTCCTCCGCCGCCGTCACCGTTAACACCCCTCCCGCGGCGATGGCGGCATACCCCCTATAGGTATCATCTCGATACAATCACACACACCCCCATATCAATTTCAAAAAACCAAAAATGGTGGGTTCATTCCTCTCCACTTAATTTCCCATTTTATTCATCTTCTCCTTTTCAAATCTTGCTCAACAATCAACCAATTTGATTTGCAGGTTGAATCATCGCCGGCGGCGAAATTACCTGCTTGGCTTCAATCTTTATTATCGGAGAAATTCTTTAATGCTTGCATGATTCATGAAGATGCGAAAAAGAACGAGAAAAATATATTTTGTCTCGATTGTTGTGAAGCTATTTGTCATCACTGTCTCGATCTTCACACATCTCATCGTCTTCTTCAGGTTTCAATTCGTAATTCATTCGTTTGTGAACTTCAATTTGTTCTTGATTTTTTTTTTCTTTTTTGGGTTTGAATTCAAATTGTTTGCAGATAAGGAGGTATGTGTATCATGATGTTATAAGGGTTGGTGATGCTGAGAAATTAATGGATTGTTCTTATGTTCAAGTGAGTTTAAATTGCATTCAAAATCATGTACCACTTGTGAATTACGGATCGAATTTATGTAATCTTGATTTCAATCTGTTCAGGCGTATACTACAAACAGTGCAAAAGTTGTGTTTTTGAATCCAAGACCACAAACTAGAGCTTGTAGAAGCTCAAGCAACAATTGTGTAAGTTGTGATAGAGGTCTTCAAGACTCATATTTCTTCTGCTCTATATCCTGCAAGGTATCTCTCTCTCTCTCTCTCTATATATATATATGTATATGTATGCATATATATATATGTGTGTGTGTGTGTACATACATATAGACTATAGTGGTTCTTGATGTGGGTATAGTTGTATAATGAATCAAGAATCATTACCCAAAGTTCTTGTTTCTTTTTTGTGTTGATTTTCAATTTTGGATGCGATCTTGCTTGGTAAGTTGTGTTTTCTTTTGGTGGGTTTTCTTCGAGGGTGGCACATTTTCCATAGGTCAAAACTCTTATTCCTAGAGCAATGTGCATTTTTCCCTATATTTGATAGCTTCTTTGGTTTTTAATTCATTACAAATTTCGAATTTTATGTGAACCCATTTTGTCGTTCCATTTTCTATCAACTGGGTTTGGATTGGATTTACTCTTTGACAAAAGATGATATCATATTTTTGAACCAAAATTGTATGTTTTTTTAGATATCGTATGCGTAATTCTGAATCTTGAAAAGGAACCCTTTTGAAATTTTCTTGTTCACTGAATTGGGTCTCTGTTACTTTTTCCACAGATTAGTCAGATTCTGAGAAGTGAAGGAATGTTGTCGGAATACCTTCACGATTGTGAGGTTTTGACCCTGCCGGAAATGGGTTCCGACGACGGTCTAATGACACCGGAATCCGTTCTTGAACCATTCGTTTCATTAAGGACTTCATCTGGTTCGAGTGCCAGCTGCGCCGGAGTTGATCGCCTAACAATTGCCTGCACCGCCACCACCGAGATTGTGAGGAAAAAAAGAACTTCAAAGTCGGCGATTCCTCCGGCGTCGCGTAAGCCAGTTAACCCGTCGGCCGTAGAAACTCCGGCGAACCGGCGAAAGGGTATGCCGCGGCGGTCTCCGTTTAATTGATGCTTCCGTACGGTAGAGTACGAGTGAGCAGGGTGTCGAAGGGATGGATGGTGGGGGTGCAAGTCTTATTTTTAACTTCTTTTTCTTCAAAATAGGTCCTTATAGAATGATGAATGTTACAGACGAGTACCTCCCAGTTTTGTTTATTACCCATTGACCCTTCTCTTTATTTAGATTTTTTTAGTGCTAATATGGATTTAAAACATTTAGTTTGTTCATCGATACCATTAATAGTTGATACATCTCATTAGCCCTTAATTTTCTATTGCCTCTTATTTATTTTTTAATATATATTGTTTTTTGATTGATGATAGTGTCGTATCAACAACATTCTTATCACATGTGATAATACATGTGACATTCTTATCACATGTGATAATACATGTGAGGGGGTTTAGTAATGTAGGGGCGATCTGGCCCGCAATCAAGATCGCGTCGAAAATTGTTCGCGTCTCTGATTTAGTATTACATCGGTATCATATGTGATTGTTTATTGTAACAGAGTGTTTTTGTGCTCTCGTAAAATGAAGGTGTTTTCGTTTGAACCATTCCCGATATATATTAGTTTTTATTTTAATAGTTGTCGTATTTATTTTATTTCGATAAAGAGATCTTGCGAATCATAGGTAGTAATATCGAATTATTACAAATAATTAAAATTGGTAAAAAATTTAACGCAATATACGATCTTCTTTTATTTAAAAACATGGAATGTGAATTGTGTTGCGATGAGATTTAACGCCCTAATCTTTAATAATGTGTTTTCCGTTTCAAACAATAGATTTAAAATTTGATTTTAAAGGTTTTGCTATCAGTTACTACATTACTTTTAAATCCTCTTATGGTCACGAAAGTTCAAATGCGGTGATTCCGTACTATCTACAAAGCAGATGGTCGTCCTGAAATTAATCGGCTCATATAATAAGTCGGATATCTAGGTTAATAAAAAATAAATAAATAGATTTTAAAAGCCAATTTCAGATCCTAAAAAAAAACCAAACAAAAGCTTACGGGTCAAAAGATAAAAAGAATCCTAAATATATTTTTATTTTTATTTTTAATTTCTCAAAAAATGTTAAATTTAACATATCAAAATAATTATTCTATAATTAAATGGTTAAATGTAAATAATGATTACCACTTTTCAGCTAATTTGTAATTTTCAACTTTACAGTAGTGGTCAAAGAGGTGAAAAACTTTACAAAATGAAAGAAAAGTATGAGATTCGAATTCAAATATACACACTAATGAATTGTTTGTTTACCTTTTAATAATTTTATTAAGAGACATTATCTGAATCGTTAAGAGGTGGATTTTGTTTGACAGAAAAACAATCTGCCTCTTAATGGTTTTAAAACCCTCTGAATAATTTTGTCTCATGAGCATCTTTTAACCACTAAGCGTCCTAATTTCATAGTAAACAATTACCAAACAATTATATTTCATTTTGCACTATATCATGAAAGACTCTTAATCATTCTGCACCAAACCATTCAGCAACTGCAAACAACCCATAAGTACATAATTTACCTTCTGTATGGTGGTTCATTAAACTGAAATAAAGACGTTCCAAATTCCCAAAAATAACGGGTGGATGATTTTACACAAATACAAGACAGGTGTTGGGTTCAATCCCAACCCCCTTTAGCCTGTGAACCCAACCCTCCTCTAACGTCAACCGTTGTATGAGCCAAAAAATGCCCTCACATTGGTGTTCTTGGAGGCAGGCCTCGAGACGACCAATTGGGATTGTTAGGTAATCAATTTTTTCCCAAATATATATTTTTTTATATTAATATTTATCGTATTTAAAATATTTCGATAAAGAGATCTTGCGCAATTTCAATTTATTACGAATAATTAAAATTGGCAAAAAATTTAATGCAATGTCGGATTTTTTAATATAAAAACATGAAATTCGAAAGTTTTCGCGGTTATATTTAAGTTCCAAAATTTTAATAGTGTGTCAGCGGTCAATAAAAGTTATGAATTAAATTCAACAGTAGATTTAAAAAATTATAAAACAGTAAACAATTTGATATGGTTTGATTTTACGGGGGTTTTAATCTAGAGTTATCAGTTACCACATTAATTTTGAAAAAACCTAAATATGCATATATTGTAACATTTTGAAAAATGTTAATTTTGACATATCTTAATATCGTTTTGTATTATCAACGTATGAAACAAATATTCCAGGTTAACTGCAAATAATGATTACCATTTTTCAGCTAATTTACCTTCTACATGATAGTTATTAAACTGATATAGATAACCTACAGATTTCAAAAGATGACATCATATCTTTGTGAAATGATCAGAATTTGAATTTATTAAGGGTTTGAACTTTACAAAACCAATTAAAGTTTTGGTTGTTATTCTTATCCTTAATTAGGCATGGCAACGGGAAGGGGATGGGGCATGTTTTGTAATCCCCGGCTCCAGTCCCGGTTTGTAGTAACATCCCCGGCCTCGGTCTCCGACGGGTAAGGAGATTAACATCCAATTCTCGGTCAAAATCCGATCAAACCCCAGTCAAAATCCGATCAAACCCCATGAAGAACATCTCTTAGTTTGATTCTACCGGGGATCCCTGACCTTGATTGAGTAACATCTCCCGACCCCGGGACCTGTTTTAGCAGGGAATCTCTGTCCCCGTTCGGGTCAGGTGAACGGGTTCCCCACCGGGTCGGGGTAAATCACTATCCCTATTCTTAATCACTTAAAAAAATAATAACAAATGTGGACTATGTTAACTTGAATGAAATTTTTATTGAATTACAAACCTTTTTTGATATATTTCAAACTTTGGTGCTCTAAATGAAAATTTGAGTCTTCGAAATTGAGTTTAAGATTCACTCAAGTACTTGTTTGAAAAAAGAAGGGGGAAGTTTGATTTTATTGCAAAATGACCCCACAAATCTTGTACAATTCCAAGAAATGCAAACAAAAAAACATGTTTTTTTTCTCTTTTGTTCTTTTTTCCATCCTTTCCTATAACTTATTTTCAAATCAACTAATTTCCTAGAGTAAATTTTATAGTTATTATATTTTAGTTATGTATGGGTATAAATAAATGAGAACTCTATATACTGTGATAACTGTAAAAACTGGTATCATGAAGTATTGTTTCATCTGACTTCTTCCATCTAAGACTAGAATTTAATATATTAATTAACATATATCTGTTTGACAACGTGTTTGTTTTGTATGTATTCGGTTCACAATATGAACTTTTGGTTGTATTTTTTATTTCACAAACACATAAAAATTGTTCATATTATGAAACAAACATATTGTGGAACAACTAGAAATTAATCAATCCACAAAAATCCAAGTCGTAGATAAAAAAAGATCATGTGAAATAGTACATGATACACTTGTTCTCAGAGTTTTAATAATTTTACAGGTTCTTAAATGAAGGCCTCTGTCTCTCTCTCTCTCTCTCTGTATGTCTGTGTGTGTAATTTTTTAAATGTAAATCATCTTGTAGCTTATTGTTATTAAAAGACAAATATCGATACAAAGTTGGATATTCATCAAATGTGTACGAAATCAACCTCGACCTTATCAATTTCGACACTAATTTTATTTTAAACGAACATCTTTATTTGAAATTAACCTACAATATAGTCAAAAACAGTAAAAAAAATAGTTATTAAATTCACGGGTAGAATTAATTTTTCTCCATATAATTGAATGCGACAAAATATACGGTTCTTTGTTGCACAAAAAACGTGTTACCTAGTATGACATATAATCCTTAAAACGTGTTCGATTATTTTGCAACAATAATAATACTTAATATTGAAATAAATTCGTTTTTGAATTTGAGCAACAATGCATGATAATATAATAAAATTTGTTTTAGTTCTTATTTAGTTTAACAATCAATTTTTTTTCGCAATTAGCATGATAAATGTTCGGTTATTTACATTTTATACTTTTATTACTCGATAAATGGGTTTTCAACACATGTAAAATAAATTGTTTTCGATGTGACATTTTTCACACGGTTAAGAATTATAATATAATTTAATAATTGCTCGAATTTTATCATAGGAAACCGTTCTAAGATCAAATATTATTTCACCTTCAAATTACATGAAACGAAGATTGATCAGATCTTAAATCTCGAGACAATGTTTTAATCTACACCTCGACTTCAATCCATCCCGATTCACTGGTTTTCTTCTCATGTTGCTCCCTCCATTCAATCACTAGCCTGCGGTTTCAAGAAGTTTGAGTAAGCGTACGACTTAGTGAGAACTATACAATAGTAACGTCCGTCATTTAAAATAACATTTCAAAATATTATCTGTGCAACTTTTTCGTAACAAACGCATTAACCGTCATGCATCTTTGAGTCTGTTGGCTATTCACAATGGTGATGAAAATCTAGCGACTGTGCTCTACTCGAGTAATTCTCCTCTTTTCCTGGCATGACACACTTGAGAACCCGTTACAAATAGAATCTCACAAGTCTGGCAAAACACGTATCTCTTGCTTTTACGACAATTCCCATTGTGGGCCATCATCGTTTCATGAAACTCGCTGTCACCGTGTGAGTTATCAACACACTAACATATATCACCATGAACAATTATAAACCATGTTTATACATTCTCAACAAAAACTACGCACTTGCGTCAATTTTCATACAACATTTAACGTAACATGAACATATCGAAATTTGTAGGATAAAACAATTCATTGTATGTGACCCTGAAAAACATTACATGAAACTCATTTCAATGTGTGGGCTTCTCTGTTTGGTTTCTTGTAATATCTACGAAATGTTATCATAATATCTGCTAAGCGTGCGTCTTAGCACACGTCAAGTTGATCAGTTGTGGTTTTTCTTGGCTGTAACACATCTAACATTAATAATTATATATTTTTGAAAAAACTTTTAAATTTTTTTTATTAATTTTAAGGTCATTCAATTTATTTATAAGTTGGTTAGGTCAATCAGATCGAGTTTTGGCAAAAATATATCT